CACTGAACTGGTTTTCAACAAATCCTTCTGCAAAGAGATTTCTAATGTGAGGTTTCTGTTTGAAAGACAGACCCAGCCAGACCCAACCCCCACGATAATCCCCAATAGCTCTGCATTTACAGACCTAAAAATGCCCCAGCCGTGAGTCAGTGCCCGCTGTGCCCTGCAGGGAGAAGTGCTGGTACCCAGGGGCAGCCTGCGAGGTCAGGGCAGCCTTTACCTCCCTGGAATATACATTCATTTTCAGGGAATATTTACTAAAAGGGTTTGTAAGATCCAGTGCAAGTGATGTGTTTTGAGGGCAGTAAAGAAGGGGCAAAAAAAAAAAAAAAAAAAAATGGAGATGGAATAAGCAAGGAAGACTGAAAGAGAAATGGAGGCTAAAGGTGAGAAGGAAGAGTCACAAGGAATTGGAGTCACAAGGCTGGGGAGGAAAAAAAGTAAAGGCCGAGGAGTGCAAGAGAAAAAAAAGATTGATCCGAAATAATAACAAGGACAGAAAAAATAGAGGCTGCAAAAGGGTTGAAGGCCAAGAAAGTGTGTGTGGTGGTGGGGGGAGGGGAAGAAATGCAGAGGCTGAAAAGGGCAGGAGGCCAAAATAAAGTGGGAGGCCAAAAGACAAGTAGAGATAAAAAAAAGTGGAGGGTGAAAAGGGGTGGGAGGCTGAAGAGGCACAGGAGACATGCGGGAAGGCCTGCCCAAAGAGGGGTCTAAAGTTTAATCGGTTCCTCAGGGCTCCTGGTGATAAGGCAGCACAATGTCCAATTGTTCTCCCTGCACACCGGGTCAGCCCCGCTTCCCGTGCCGGGGATCTGCAGGAACACAAACTTTGGGTTTGGGCTGGACAGAGCCCCCAGCCAGAGCCAGAGCTCTGCGAGCCCTCTGGATAAACTTTCCTTCCCAGCTCCACCCCAGCCCTGGGGATAAACTTTTCCTCCTGAGCTCCCCTAAATGCCTTTGGCCTTCCTCTCACTGCTGAGACCTTGATCTTCCTCCCAGCTGAGGCAGCTCCTGGTGCAGCTGCCTCTGGCTCCTTGTCCTTATTCCCAACCAGCTGAGCCAAAGCCCCGCGGTGCCAGGACCCGGCAGGGTGGGGACAGGGACAGGGAGCTGCTGCCAGGGGGGACAGGGACAGGGAGCTGCTGCTGCCCTGCCAGGGGTTTTGCCTTTGCTCCCAAAGGAGCCAAGAGGCTGCAGGTGCTGGCAAGGGAAGGGGGCAGTGGGGATTTCTGGCCCCGGGGCCGTGCAGAGTCTCAGCCTGACACCTGCACCCCCAGTCAGGGAGACTTGAGCCCGCAGAAATTTGTGTTTGGCACCTTTGGTTTGGCTGAGAGAGCAGCTCACAGCTCAGAGCGTGCTGGTGATGAGGAGTTTTGGCTGTCAGGCCCATCAGGATAATCCCTGTGGTGCTATTTCACTCATAAATCATAGAATCATCCCAGACAGGTTTGGCTTGGAAGGGTCCTTAAAGCCCATCCAGTCCCTCCCCTCCCATCCCAGGTTGCTTCATCCCCTGTCCAACCTGGCCGTGGACACTTCCAGGGATGAGGCATCCCTAATCATACTTAATTACCCAGAGAAACTGTGGCTTCCCCAAACCATTCTATGGTTCTGTGATTTATTTATTTTGCATCAAAAACGAACCATTTATAGTGCTGTGTCACTGCAACAATTTTCCTTTCTGTTTGTTGTTCTGTCTGTTTGGGTTTTATTTTAGTTTGTTTTTCTTTTCTTTTTTTTTTTTTTTTTTTTTAATTTTTTTTTTTTTTTTTTTTTTTTTTTTTTTTTTTTTTTTTTATGGTCCAAATATTGTGTTTTGCCATTTTAAATATTTGGGTTCTAGTATATTTCTGTTCAAATTCTGATCTGGGCTTCTGCTTCCACCCAGAGCTTCAGGTGAATCTGCAGTAATTTGGAGATTGTCATTTTGGAATGATGCTCCACGGAGCCACTCCTCCCTCCCGGAATTTGGGGGCACCTGCAGGGTTTTTTTGGGGGGTTGTCACAGCTGGGGGGAGCAGGGACCTGCTGCCTCCCCACATCCCAGCCCGAGCCTGCACCCCGGAACCTCCCTGGGGGTGGCAGAACATCCCGGAGCCTGCGGTGGCAATCGTGCCCTGGGTTCGCCTGAGCATCCCGGGGGCTCCGCGGGGCCAGCCCGGCGCGGCCCCGCGCCCCCGCCCCGCACCTACCGGCGGCTGCGCGGCGCTCCGGCGGCGGCGAGAACCGGGCTGGAGCAGAGCGAGCGGGGCCGGGGAGGATGAGGAGGAGCTGCCTCGGGGCGGGGGAGGACGCGGGGGGGAAGGGGGAGGCTGATCGCATCCAGCCCCGCAGCGGGGCCGGGCACCTGCAGCACCGCCCGGCCCCGGGCAGCGCGGGGGAGGCGGCCGCGCCCCCCGGGAACCCCCCGGAACCCGGAGCGCCTCCGCGTCCCTCGCCTTTCCCTTCCCTGCTGCCCACGGCATTCCTGCGGCTCTGGGTGTCTCAGTGCCCTCCGGGAAGGCGATGGCCTTCCTCGTCCCTGTCAGCCCCGAGCGCCCCGGGCAGCGGGGA